ATCCATTCTCTGGCCCCATCCTGCAGATGTCCGACAATATAGGTAACCCTCTCCCCATCGTCTGCAAAATCATTCTGTTGCAGTTCTAACGCGTACTCTATTTCCCTTCAGAACGCACTGTAGTCCTGGGGTTTCCCTCCAAACTTATGTACCAGTCCCGGTACCTTCCTTGCTACGGGGTGGGTCTGACCTGAGCATCCTGAGACCGCCTTTCGTCCAGCCGCGCCGTCAGCAGAGCCACATGCTGCTCCAAATCTCGGTTCCTCTCCACCAGATTTTGCACTCCAGCTGCTCCCTCCGTGGCGCCAGCTTCTCCGGTTTTGCTCATGATGCTGCCTGCCTGTCACTGTGCACGAGCGACATCAGGGACTGACGGATTGCTGTAAAGAGTATGGGTTGCTCGTGCGTAAGTTGCCGCCTCTCCTGGCTATGTTGCCTTGTTAAACCTTTCAGTCTGGACAGCCCTTCACTTCGTGGCTGCCTCAGTCGCTAGCAGAATCCGTCAGTGGGCGTTTCTTAAACCTTTTCCAACATAAAAGTTGTTTGACACCCAGTCTCCTCCTACTCTCTCTGCGCGGAAGTCTTCTGCGCAGGGAGGGCGTGGGTAGCGGAGGACCCGTGCTCTCCCCGCTGGTGTCCGGTGAAGAGTCTGGGAGCCCTCTTGCCAATTCCCCCATCTGCCCTTCTTTATTCCTGTTGTTGCGCTGAATTGCTTCCCCATCTGCTAAGCTGCCTCTCTCCCTGCTGGGCCCTTCTCCAGCATCATTTGACAGCCTTCCCTCCGCCTCTAGCTCCGATGTCAGTTCCCTGACATCCGGTGACCAAACCAGTGCCTTAAATCCCTCTGGGCAGTCGCCTGGGTTAGGATTGGACCCTAAATCTGCATGGAATATTTGTCTTAATTTTAATTGCATGCAGCATCTAATGATCTGATGTAGGAAATAAAATGACGACAGTGCTACACACCACCCCAATTTCAATAATAATAATAATAATAATTTATTTATACCCCGTCCATCTGGCTGGGTTTCCCCAGCCACTCTGGGTGGTTTCCAACAAAGTATTAAAATACTACAGTTTGTCAAACATTAAAAGCTTCCCTATAGAGGGCTGTCTTCAGATGTCTTCACATGAGCAGCGCGAGATTCCAGGGATTCCAAACGTTCACTGAGTGATTGTGCTTCCTTTTGGGAATAAAGCACAACAGAGACCAAAATCACTCCCTTATTGCTTCAGTTCCATACATACTGCTATCTCCTGCATGTGCTGTAAAAAGTGAACCTATTATGCAAGAGAAGCAGAATGTACTGACTTCAATAAGTATAGAGAAGATTAATTGCTGTTCCTGGCAAACAAAATGGGAAGGGGGTTGGAAATTCCTGTATATTTATTAGAGCTACATTATGTACAGATGTTTTCAAAAAAACAATAATATAGAAAGCTGTCCCCGCCCCCACTTCTAATAATAGCATATGAACCTACTGTAGCATCTTTCTGAATACTGAAATAGATTTATTAAGGCACATACATCTCATTTATTAAATCAACGCATGTCTCTCCATTCCAGTAATATCACAACACAAAATGATATAACTTGTGTCCTAAGTTTCTCTTTATTGCTCTTTCCTGTTTCCCTGATGTATAAACCTATATAATGCAATTTTAGCTTGCAAAGCAACTACAAAACAGAATGTTTTGTATTGATTTCTCATATAAAAGAACTGCAGAAATAAATCAAGCCTTTTTTGGGGGGGGAAGGGGGGGATTGTGCATGAGGATCTTATTGTTTCTATAGTTTTTGTTTTGAAATAGAAGTAGAATGTGCAGGTTAATCATATTTCTAAATATAAGCCAAGAAGTGCAGTTGAAATTTCAGAAGAGTAATATTACATAATCAGAATTAAGTGGGTGACACAAGGTTTTTGCAAACAGAGACGATTGCAAGATGAAGGTTAAACCAGAAATAAATAAGCATTGGGACCTGTATATGGCGTTTTACCTTTATCTCTTTCATTTTTTTCTTTTTCCCCCTTTTATTCAAAATTATAACAAGACATATTATCCAAAAACATATCATCCTTGTTTCCCCCCCATTTTCCTCCCTCCCCCCCCACAAAAAACCCACCCACCCCCACCCCACCCCCCGACTTCCCTCAGTTCCAGTCTTTGGTTTCTCTAAGAATGCTGTTTTCTGCATGTTACAAAGTTGTATAGATCCTCAAACTATTTAGCTGATTATTATCAATAAAAAGTTTGTGAATGTTTATTCAAAACCTGCCAAGGAGTCCAGTTCACTTTGTTGCGTCTTCAGATACTTTGTAAAGGGTTCCCATTCATCCTTAAAGTCACAGTAATCCTTGTCCCGTAGCTTGTATGTCAGTTTTGCCAGTTCTGCATAGTCCATCAATTTTTCTTGCCATGATTCTTTAGTTGGGGTTTCTTCAGTCTTCCATCCTTGTGCTACCAGAACTTTCGCGGCCATTGTCACATACATGAAGATGTTTTTCAACTTTTTTGGCAGGTCTTTCCCTACAATCCCCAGCAAAAATGCCTCGGGTTTTTTAACAAATGTTAAATGGAACATTTTCTTCAATTCGTTGTATATCATTTCCCAAATTTTTTAAAATTACCTTAAAATCCCACCACATATGATAAAATGTCCCCTCCTTTTCCTTACACTTCCAACATATATTTGAACTAGTTTTGTACATATATTTGTACTAGTTTTACCTTTATCTCTTTTCTTGCTACCACCCCAAAACCCACACAGCTCAGTGCACAGCTAAGCTTAACTAAGATAAGTGAGGGATCAGGATCATGATACACTGGCATACATTTTGAAATGTTAGCTCTGCATTGGGGCAAATCCTGACAAGTGTCCAGAATGTGAGTGATCCTGGCAAAAGCATTTCGGTGAACTTTTTGCTTGAACTTAATGTGTCTAATGAAATATTTCCAGTACAGGGACAACTTAAAGTGTTCACGGAGAGAAGGGCAATGACAAAATAGATATTAGTGATTGCATGGCAGTTGCTCAGTGCACTGCATCTGATGGGAAGAAAGATGGTTTCAGAACAGCAGTCAAAACATGGCTATATTAGGGCTGTGCATACCAGATTTGATGGATTGGGATGTGTATTTTGAGCAGAAAATTGACATGGGGTAGGATTGTGCACCACTCTCCCGTATCTCTGTGTGATTGCTAGATTGCTTCTCAGAGAGCTTATTTATATACTCAGTACAGGTATAAAGCTGTCTGTGGACAAACACGGGCTCCTTTGGCCTGAAGCGAGATGAGAGCCAAAACCTATAGTCCCCTTTCACTGAACTTAACCCTCCAGGGGTCCTTTATCTTACCTTACCTACCAGATAGATAGATAGATGATAGATAGATAGATCGATAGATAGATAGACAGATAGATGTGTGTGAGAGAGAAAATATGCATGTTAATTTATTCAAACCCTCATCATTTTCTGGCTCAAAATTGCTTAGTGTGAAGACTTGGAGCTGATGTCCACATTGCTAAATTTGATTCTATGAGGAATAGAAAACTGATCAACAGCAAAGTTGGAAATAGAAGTGTGGGAAGGGAGAGGTGGCTCTCTTCGTGGAATTTGCCAGCAGTCATCTCTGAAGTATTTTGCACAGCGAAGTCAAAATGCAGCGTCTTCACAGTAAATGAATAAAACTTCACTGAGGTAAAACATACTTCTTTACAAACACATAATGTAGGAGATCAAGGTAAAAAAAGAGCACACACTGAGCCCATTTGTATTTATTCTTTCTGGCTCTGTGTGTCTTCCTGTAAAAGATACAATATTTGCACAAGGAATGAGTCATCTAGAGAGGGAAAAGGCAAACTCGGCCCTCTAGATGTTTTGGGACTACAATTCCCATCATCCCTGACCTCTGGTCCTGTTAGTTAGGGATGATGGGATTTGTAGTCCCAAAACATCTGGAGGGCCGAGTTTACCTATGCCTGATCTAGAGGATGAGTCAGAGTGAGTCAGCTAGCTGAATGAGTCTGCACTTTTTAGCATTTTTCAACACTTTCTACACTTTACTGCTTCTGCTCTCAAAGACCTTTGTCTCATGACAAGTATAGTAGATAGGGCTTGGGTTAATACATCTCTCCTCAAAGTGGTTCTACTACTTCCTGGCTAGCGGCTTAGATGCCGAAAGGTGTATCAATAAAAGCTGTGCTTTCTGTTTACCTCGCCCTTATTTTTCATGAGCTGAAAATGCACAGGCTTTATTAGCAGTTGTGGCCCTGTATAAACATCTCAAACATTATTTAAAAATCCCCTGTTCAGTGGGATAGAACTTTTGGAGTACTCTTAGGAATATGCTTGATGATGATCAACTGTCAGTGCACTGGGAAAATTACTCCATCAAGAGTCTTGGGACTGCAACATTTCTGTTGGTGTTAATATGCTTAATTCCAGTTAGTGTTGGAAAAGGTCATCTCAAGCTCCATGGACTGAAAAATAAGCCTTTCCCAGAATTAACATGTTAGCAGCGAGTGAAAAGGCAGTTCTCAGATCAAAGGGATTAATTTAATACTCTCTTTGATTTAACGAGGAAGGGGGAAAAGTGGATTGTAGCTACTGAGTACAATATTACTGAGCCAAATTTATACAGTGTAGTGGAGATCCTGTTTGAATGCTTGCTCGTTTCACAATGGCTGAGAAGGACCTTCAAATAAAGGACCCACATTTATGTTTCCTCTAAGCTTGGAGCAAAATCCTGGCTATGGATCTCAGTTCTGGGTTCCTAGTAATGCCAAGTCATACATCCAGCAGGATGTGACAATTAGAAAATTGCTGTAAACATTAGAGAACAAAGTGAACAGATTCCTGCCCTTATGCTTCTATTTTTCATTGACAGAATGAGTGTGGTGAATTTCGATTCCTGTTTTCTATTCTCAGCTTCCTTCCCACACATGCCCAGATCCAAATGTGCCACAATTCTGATATGCTCTTAACTGGGCCTTATTTGATGGGGAAGGGCTGTAGCTCGGTGGTTGAGGATTTGCTTTTGAAGCAAAAGATCCTGGGTTCAATCCCTGGCCCCTTAAGGTAAGGCTGGAAAAAACCTTCAGTAGAGAACTGTTATATACTGAAGTTCTCACCCTGAGCCAGCAGGGGGATACTGTAGATAGTTATGCAAATAAGGGATCAAAAGTGACGTTCAGTGATTGGATAGTTTTAGAAAATTGTTACAGTTATATTGTACTGGAGCTCTATATAAGCAGGCTGACTGAACCCTTCAGTTCAGTTCTGTCCTGGCCTGTGAATAAACAAGAGCTGTTTGAAGAATCGCTGCGTCGTCTGATATGTTCACCCACAGATTAACAAGAACCACTGTCAGTTACAGTTGTCATGACTGAGCTAGATAGACAAATATGAATGGAGGATTGTAAATGGTTTTATGCAATGCCAATATTGTGTAATATTTCATTTTTATTTATAATATACAGTGGTACCTCTAGTTATGAACTTAATTTGTTCCGGAGGTCCGTTCTTAACCTGAAACTGTTCTTAACCAGAGGCGTGCTTTTGCTAATGGGGCCTCTTGCTGCCGCTGCACTGCCAGCACATGATTTCTGTTCTCATCCTGGGGCAAAGTTCTCAACTCAAGGTACCTCTTCCAGGTTAGCGGAGTTTGTAACCTGAAGCGTTTGTAACCTGAGGCGTTTGTAACTTGAGGTACCACTGTATGTGTAATCCACTATAGGATTACTGGTGAAGGATGGGCATCCAAACAAGCAAATATATATATTAAAAAAACACATGAGATATATAAAAGACTCAGTTGCTGTCATTAAGTTTTAAATTTCACTTTAAAAATCTCCACTAAGTATCCTGAAACAATCTCAGTTATTATTATATAGTATATAAAGATAAAATAATATATAATAATGTGCAGAGCTTCAGGAAGCAGGCTGAATTTAACCATTTTACCTAGGACTCCATCATGTTCTATTCATTTTTGGAAGTAATAGCGATGTAAATTATTTGCTTCATTTGAAATTGCTGAAATCAAATTTAGCAAAGCAAATTAGAAATAACAAATGCAAATAATAATAATATTTTTTCAAAGATTTTTTTTTTTTTTTTTAGTTTAGTTGCAACATAAAAGTAAGACATCATGATTTCAATTTTTGTGGACATATTTTATGAACAGATACTGATGTTCTCAAATCCAGACTTATTTTGCTCGCTACCATCCCACAACGGTGCGTCTTTGTTCAGGTCTTTGAATTCATCAGTTTCATTCATGAGATTTGATTTTTTTCTTTTTTATTGTTATTTAAGTCTCCTTAAAACATAACCCTAAAAACATTAGAGGGATAAACAGTAGACAATTACATAAAATTGATGCAAAACTACTTAAAAGAGGATGATTGCATTACAGAGAGGTAGAATCCTGAAAACAGAACAGCAGGTTTCTTGGTTTCTTTTTAAAAAGACATATAAGAGGGGAGGGAGAAATCCACTTTTTTTCAGACCATACCTGACGATCATTGAGGAAAAGCTAAGACACACAGCATTTCTGCATTGCATGCATTTTTAATGGAATTGATTTTTTTTCCTTCAATAGCTCTTACCAAGTGTTTGTTTTATTTAATCTACAGAGCACCAAGAACATTGATGAGCCTAGTTAAATAATTAATTATAACTAAGCAAGCTGATTTGATTTCTTTTCTGCTATCAGCTAAAATGTATAAGCTCCTCAAACTAGCCATGAGGCCTATTGTGTTTCGAGACAGACTTCTTGAATACATATGCATCTCTGAACGGGGAATAACAGATGCTACATGTGTGGTTACCCAGCCAAAAACAAAAGCAGGTACTAAACATAAAAGAAACTAGTTGGTTGGTTAAGTCCAGTCAAAGGCGACTGTGGAGTGTGGCACTCATCTCACTTCTCAGGCCGAGGGAGCCAGCATTTATCCACAGACAGTTTTCTGGCATGACTAAACTGCTTCTGGTGCACTGAGGACCATGATGGGTGCCAGAGCACAAGGAAATGTCATTTACCTTCCTGTCACAGCAGTAAAGGTAAAGGTACCCTTGCCCGTACGGGCCAGTCTTGACAGACTCTAGGGTTGTGTGCTCATCTCACTCTAGAGGCCGGGAGCCAGCGCTGTCCGCAGACACTTCCGGGTCACGTGGCCAGCGTGACAAGCTGCATCTGGCGAGCCAGCGCAGCACACGGAACGCCGTTTACCTTCCCGCTAGTAAGCGGTCCCTATTTATCTACTTGCACCCGGGGGTGCTTTCGAACTGCTAGGTTGGCAGGCGCTGGGACCGAGCGACAGGACCGCACCCCGCCGTGGGGATTCGAACCGCCGAACTTTCGATCGGCAAGTCCTAGGCTCTGAGGCTTTTACCCACAGCGCCACCCGCACCCCCAGCAAGCCCAAGAGGCTCAGTGGTTTAGACCACAGCGTCACAGTCAAAGCATTGGTCCATCTAACCAAATATGGTATCCCCTGATCTGCAGAAGCTCTCCAAAGTCTTGAACAGAAGTCTTTCTCAGTCCTGAGATTCTTTGATCTAAGCTATAAATTCATTAGGAAGCACATACTTTAATACTGAGCCACAACTCCATTAACATAATTAAATGACAAAAAGTATAAATCTCTGATTTTATCTGTTTGAGAACGTGGGCAATCTGGATTCCACCACTGACAATGCCAAATCAGGGAATTTGGTCAGGGTGAGGATTATCAAACATGCCTTTCTCTTAGCTCATTTCTCCCTTTTGTCCTGAGTTCATGCTTCTTCAAAGTCTATGACACCTTTGGTAGAGGCTATTTTCCAATTGGAGTGCTCGCAGACCAGTGTTTCCCAGTTGTTGGTTGTACTACATTTATAAGATTTGCCTTGAGGGCATCTTTAAACCTCTTTTGTTTTCCACCATCATTATGCTTTCTATTCTAAAGTTGGGAATAGAGTAGTTGCTTTGGAAGATGATAATCAGGCATCCGAACAATATGACCAGTCCAACGAAGTTGACATTGAAGAGAGGCCCTTAGCACTTAAGCCTCTCCAATATTTTATTTTGTAGCAGAGCATAAAATCCAGTTCTATATTTCAGGATGGATAATATTTTTTTCCTTTAACCCCCCTTCCAGATATTACATTGGCATTGCATGCTCATGACTCATCACATAAGAAGAACTGAAATATTTGGCATGCAGATTGAAATAAGAGTTCCACACTGCATCCATATTATTATCCATAATTTGCTTAATTGTGCATCATGTTATACATTAAAAAACCAAAACTCTCTAAACCATCTAATGTATATCTGAATCACATCCATATTAATGTCCACAACCGGCTGAATTATGCAAGAGCTTGTGATCCCAGTTATTACCAAGTCCTTAAGCAAGGCATAGCAGTCAGCATTGAGAATGTGAGACAAGTGACTCAGAGCACCAAAATACAGTTATCATATTTCAGAATGCCAGCAACACAACAGCCAACTCTGTGTCCACCCATGACCTCTGGGTGGGACTCTGTTTGTGAAAAGAGAGGTCCTCTTCCTGTCATCCCTGAACATACGACCTGTTGGTTTGGGGACCGGAAATGGAAAGTCACATATATTTGCACCCAGATGAAAATTTAAAAGCATGTGGACATTGCAAACAAGGGCTCGCCAAATGAAAACAGGCCGATATCAGCCTTCCTCCCTGTGACCCTACCCTCCTCAAATGTAAGTTGAGTGTTGAAAGGAGCAACATTGTTTTCAAATGTTTTGGTTCATGGATGAGTTTGCAAGTCTACACACACAAGTTTGCCAACCTTAAGAAACAGGACCAGTCAAAGATATTTGCCCAACCAAACTGAAGGGCAATAGGTGCTCTTTCCTCATTCCATACATAGAAGCCTGGTATGGTATAACATCTTCCTATGCAGCTGAAGCAGCAGGCTAGTTTATGGGAAGTAGGGGAACGGCTGAGGAAGAAGCACCAACTTCACTTTGCCTGATGGGAGGGCTGCTTCTGTTAATAAGAAACTAAAAAAAACAAGGGCACTTCCTTTGTCTTTCTCCAGGTGTGATATTACGAGCAGCCAAGAGTAAAAGTGGTATATTATCAAGAATATACATGCTGCCAAAAATGGCTGAATGGATTTTCAGATAAAAATTCAATTAAGGATTCTTTACATGTCACCATTTCCCCCTCTCCGTTCTTGTTTTGCCTTCGTTGAAGTGCTTCTCAAGTTTCCTTTTCAAAGACTTTCTCCCCCATCTTTTAAGTATTAATATTTTAAAAACTTCCATTTAACAACCAAGGGAAGTGATTGAACTAAGAGCTTGCATCTGTCACTCTTACTCATGCAGACGGAGGCTCTGAGCAGTCTTATTAACATCTATGGAATAAGCAATGACTTAAAATGCTGAGCAAGAAATAATGCAAATCAGGGCTCTCTCATACCAGTCCTTGAAGTAGCTTCCAGATAACTTCTACATCTAAAGCTGACTCAGTAGGTGACAAAACCAGCAACTTGATTTTGAGTACCTAGGACTGAATTCTCTGATGCGGTTCAAACACCAGACTACTGGATATTCAAGTCTTGAATGAATGCATTGTGCTAATATCCTATGTCAATATTACAGTGTTTATTGTCAATTCAGGGGGCATAAGCATTCATGAGGTTTGGGCCTCAGAAAGTCCATTCTCAAGAGCCAGGAATCAAGTAAGATGCACCTCATTGTAATATATTACAGAGCCTACTACAATACAACCTAGTATGTCTACCTCAGAGAGGGAAAAAGTGGAGAGGCACCCTAAGACAGATTCCTGATTATCACAATGTGTTACACATACCAGAGGTTTGCCATGTAAAGCTTCAGATTATTGAGGTGTTTATGCCAAGCTGTGCTCACCTGATTTCTGTGACCTGGAATAAAGTTCTTCCTGAGAACAGCTATGATGATTGGATAAGGTCTAATGCCACAGGAGGGGTTTGTCAGGCACACAGTAGGGACGGACAACTCATTACACCTACCTAATTTCTAGGTGTTGATTTACACCTACCTAATTTCTACTTCCTGAGAAGA